ATTATATTAGTTTGAGGTGTTCAACATGGTGCTTCGATATTTGTATATCTTGCAAAATGATCCCCACAATAAGTCTAGTTAACATCCATTACCTCACAGCTACAAAATTTTTTTTCTTGTGATAGAAATGTTAAGATCTATTCTCTTAGCAGCTTTCAAATATACAATATAGTTTTGTTAACTATACTCATCATGTTGGACATTACATCCCCAGGACTTATGTATTTTATAACTGGAAGCTTATGACTACATTCACCCATTTCATCCACCCCTCACCCCTGTCCTCTGGCAACCACTACTCTGTTGTTCTCTGTATCTATAAATTCAGTTTTTTTTACACTTACTTATTTTAAAAGTCTAAAGACTATTTACTTATCTCAACTTGAAAATGTTCAAATTTACAGCAGAGTTGTACTATGAAGACAATAAACACACATTTATTTACCACTGAGATTCAGTGATTGCACTACCACTGTCAATCTTCTGTTAAAACCATTTCAAAGTGAGGCACATCTCAGGCACAAAGTTTAAAGGAGCACCAAAAAACTCAGCAATCAAGATAAATAATATTTTACTACCATATTTTTTTAAAATCAAAATAAGTAAAAAGTACATGATGAACAAAATATCACCATTTTAAATAAAAATGGGACCTGACCCTGCACTTGCACAAACCTGCCTCACTCGCCTCACCCTAACTCCAGTCCCAGTGACATCAAGACACCTTACCTATAAATACTTCAGGACAAGTCTCTTAGGAATAAGGTCATTCTCCTACATAACCACACATACCTATGTAGGGACTGGGCCTACAGTCAGATGAGTGAGCAGTCAAGGTCTCCTGGCTCCACGGGAACGCTGCTTATCAAACATTTCTGTACCCTGACCAGGAGTCAAGGTCTCCCGGCTTCTTGGGACACTGTGTACATGGGAGGAGGAATGCAGGGCCTGACAGATGATTTCTCCCACGGGATGCTCTTTGTTTTTCTGTACCTAGATAACCTTGCTTCTTCCCTGCCTGACTGCTAGCGCTACACCTCTGGCTGGCAGCCACCAGGGACTGTCCTGGGTTTGTAAGTCTCAATAAACCTATCTCCTGCACTCAGCCACTTGGTGAGTTCTTTGGGCTTGTGGCTTTTCAGGCACAAATCTTAGAACAACTTGGACTCAGTCTGAACAACCTATGTTCAGTATGAACAACCTATTAAAAACTAACACATAGTTTTTTAAAAACTAATGCATTAGTTTTTAAAACGAATACCTATGTATTAAAAACTAATACTAGGTCTGAACAACCTAGTATTTAAAACTAATAATTGTTATTTAATACTTATAATAGGCATCCCTAATTTTTGTAATTAGCCCTAAAACATCTTTTATAGCTGTTCCTTTCCAACTGGGACACAATCAAGACTTGTTCATACATTTTATTTAGTTGTTTTGTCTCTTTAGTCTCTTATATTCTACAGTAGGAGTCAGCAAACCACAGCCTGTGGGCCTGCCATCTGTTTTTGTAAATAAAGTTTTATTGGAACACAGCAGGGGCAGTATTTACATATTGCCTGTGGCTGCTTTCAGGCTACAGTGACAGAGACTGTATGACCTCAAAGCCAACGATATTTGCCATCTGGCCCTTTACAAAAAAGTGTGCCGACCCCGGTATTAAGGATTGATTAGGTTCAGGATAAATATTTTTTTAATAGACTTTATTTTTTAGAGCAATTTTAGGTTCACAGCAAAACTGAGTGGAAGGTACAGAGATTTCCCATATACCCCCTGCCCCATACATGCATAATTTCTCCATTATCAACATCTCCCACCTGAGTGGTGCATTTGTTACAATCAATGACCTTACACTGACACATCATTATTCCAGGGTAAACATTTTTGACAAGGCTACTTCATAGGAGTATTAGTTACCTATTGCTGCATAACAAATTACCATAAATTCAGTAGCTGAAAATAACAGCCATTTATTATCTCACAGTTCCAGTGGGTCAGGAATCTGAGTGCACTGTGGCTGGATTCCCTGTGCAGGGCTTCACAATGTGTCAGCTGGGCTGGGAGTTTATTGAGAGGCCCAGAGCCCTCTTCCGTGCTCATTCAGGTTGGCAGAATTGAACCCTTCGTATCTGTAGTACTGGGGACCTCAGCTCATAGAGGCTGCCCCTCTCCATAGGCAGGTCACAACAGGGTTGGTTCCTCCTTCATGGCCAGCAGGATCGCATCTGTCTGCTACTACTTTAAGGTTCTGACTTCCAGACTGTCTTTTAAAGGGTGCCCCTGATTAGGTCAGGACCACGAGGTCTGACAATTAAGTTCGCGAACCAGTTGCAATGATATTGCTAACCTTTTTTTTGATATCAGAGGAATTATTCATTATGAATTTGTACCAACTGGACAAACAGTTAACCAAGTTTACTATTTGGAAGTGCTGAAAAGGCTGTATGAAAACGTTAGATGAAAATGACCTGAATTTTTACATCACGACAATGCACCAGCTCACAGGGTACTGTCTGTGAGGGAGTTGTTAGCCAGTAAACAAATCACTGGATTGGAAAACCCTCTCTATTCACCTGATCTGGCACCCAGTGACTTCTTTCTTTACCCAAAGATAAAGGAAATATTGAAAGGAAGACATTTTGATGACATTCAGGACATCAAGGGTGATACAACAGCTCTGATGGCCATTCCAGAAAAAAAGATCCAAAACTGCTTTGAAAGGTGGACTAGGCACTGGTATCAGTGCATAGCTTCCCAAGAGGAGTACTTCGAAGGTGACCGTAGTGATATTTGGCAATGAGGTATGTAGCACTTTTTCTAGGATGAGTTGGAGAACTTAATTATCCAACCTCATAATCTCCCTCACCATCAACTCATTTGAGACCTTAAACACACCTGCAAAATCCCTTCATCTTTGCCTTGTGGCATAACCTAATCTCAGGAGTGACATCCATTATACTCCCAGGTCCCACCCACACTCCAGGATGGGGGATTAGATGGGCACACAACAACAGGGGTGAGAATTCCATCTTGGAATTCTGCCACAAGGCGTGGTTCTGGATATTGAGATTTTGGTCACAAGGTTTGCCACATGGGAAGACTTCAATTAGTTCAAAATAGGATATTTTGATCCTGTCTTCTTAACCTCACCAAAATACTGTCCAACTAAAGACCTACATAAGAATCTTATCTTAATGTTAAATTTGACAAATGGTAAGGAGATTTGTGTTCCAAAGCTGGTCTATCTAAACTGTCAACTCTGAGGTTTTCAACTTAATCTGTGTAGATGAGAATAGTAAAGAAAAAAATTTAGCTTAGCAAATGTTTTATGCTTTCTAAAAATAAGAATGGAAAGATGTATGTATACTATTGTCCACATGTTGACACATGCACACAAACATTCATATACAGGCTTGGGAATAGCATGAGGACAGGAAATATTGCCGTGACCATTATGGGAAAATACCCCCTGCCACCCAGGACACTTATCTCAGTTTAGCAGAGGGTGAGGAAGGCTTCCTAGAGGAGGTGGCATTCTAGTCAAGTTCTGGAGGATGAAGGATGCACAGATATACACACACACAGTGAAGCTGGTTTGTGGTTGCCTGTCCTCCAAATGAATGAGGACTTCCTCTGACCATAAGAGACCTATGAAAAGACTGGAAAACTAAAAGTGATCCTTAAAATTTGAATAGAATCGCACTCCTTGGGTGCAGGGGGCATTGTGTGAGGACCCTGTCGGCGTGTCAAAAGTCTATACATACCACACACCTATATATGCTGTTGGTCCTCCATGACAGTGACTAATAGGTTACCAGGCAGCGTTGGTGTGAAAAAGACTGTCCAGACATCTGGTAGCCTCAAAGGGCTCAGTCCACCTTAGATGCTATATAGAAATGTGCTAAAACCAAGCAGAATTCTTTCTGGGCTGGGAGCCATGAATCCTCACTGTTTCCTTCGCCTCACC